AGCACAGCCACGCCCCCCGGCCTTCACCCCCAGCATGCCAACTCCCACCTCCGACATGCACAGCTGGCACCCAGAACTGCAACTGTGTTTTATACTGTATCTTTATACACTTACTGGTACAATTCATTTTTTTTTGTTTATTCATTGTAAGAAATTAGAAGGAAACATTCAGAATTTTAATTTACATAAATGCATGTTTGTGCTTTAACCATTCATTTCAGTGGCCCCGCACATATATGCACAAATATATAGCATGCAATATTCAAAAATGCTCTAAGCTGCACCTCATATTGGAATTAATGGGATTTCTACTTGAAATGCATGCACTGTACTAGCAAACTGGACAAGTGCAAAGAGAGGGAGCAGAGAACAATGGGAATGAGGGAGGATGGCAGTTACTGTACCTTGTTGCAGTAGACACATTTATAAGGTCTCTCCCCGGAATGGACTCTCATGTGTTTGTTCAGGCTGGAAGACTGAGAGAAACTTTTCCCACACACTGTGCACTGAAATCAAAGTAAGCAGACAAGAGCATGACCAAAGCTGAACTTCACTGGCATGTCATCATGATTACCAACATTGCCTAGTTTAGCACCATATAACTAGGGCTATGTTACCATATGGATAGTCAAGGCTTGCGGCTAGAGCAACATTGATTGGGGGTTGGGGATAATTGCTTTTCAATGATTGTGTTTATTGCTTCCACTTGAATGATATTGTTTGTCCTGGCATTTTTTTAGCCATTATTTATTATAAACAATGAATGCTGGAAAGAAGATGATAAGCATGCTAAATGTCCAAGACTGATGGCATTCATACTTACCAAGGTTGATTTAGTAAAGAAGTACAATTATATGCCAAATATTTTTTTTTTATTATTATACTATACCTAATTGGATATTCTAAACTGCATATTAAAAACGATTTTGTGTGCAATTACAATTTACCTGAATGGATCTGCTTAACATGAGTAACATACAACGTTGTAGGATGTAACTGCATCCATTAACTAGCTACATAAGAATGAATGTATGAGAGATACACAATATATGTGTGTGTGTGTATATATATATATATATATAGATATATGTATATATCTATATATATATATAGATATATGTATATATCTATATATATGTATATATATAGATATATATATACACACACAGTATATTTGTATTTAATTGAAGCTGACTCCGATAATATCAATAAACAGGATACATTTAAATATAGCTATATACCAGTTACAGATTTTACTGTACACGCCATCTATATGATTTACGTAATTTACCAGGGACAGGCAACCTTGGCACTATCATATCTCTGCCTCTGGGAGTCATGCCTGTGCCTTTCAGTCTTGCAATGCCTCATGGGACTTGGGCCAAGGTTGCCTATCCCTGTGATAAACATTACCGAAGTGCCATAGACAATGGAGATGGTTAAATATAATAATGCATTAAAATTTAAACATTTAGCAGCAAAATATATCTTACTCTGCTATAGTGTGGTGCTTCAGATGGTACACAGGATGCTAAATATATGAAATGGAATGTAGTCAGTGCTGGGGTTCGTGGTGCCTGGTGATGGATGGGATGTGTCCCCAGGTTCCAGTGTCCTCCTTGGCTCAGTGTATGACAATGAAGAGAACTTTGTATTGATCCTAGACACATCTCTAATATTACACACAATGCATTAGTCCCAAATATGTGTAGAACACTCAAGAAAATCATCTCAGCCAACTGAACTGTTAAATAATGTAAGCTGGCCCGTGAAATGGAAGTGTGTCTCATTGAGCCAGACCTGGATCTATTTCAGTTTACAAGCCTTTCAGGTCTAAATATGGGGCCTGCAGCCAAACCCTGCTGAGATAATGGCAGCCACCCGTGACTTGGCTTAACTCTTTCACTGAAAAAGACCTACTGGTGTCAATCATAATACCCTGCATACAAGGACAGGAGACCTGGCAAATTACTTTCTAATGATTAACTGGTGATGCTTTCTAAAACCAGAAATATATTGAGAAGTGCAAAAAAGGTGCACAGAGGTAAGATAAAGGTCTTGCAAAGGTGGGGAAGGACCATATTCTCATGTGTATAAATATCTTATGTTGCCAAAAAAACTATTTTACAGTTCCAGTGCTGACAGTAGCACACCGCCTAAAGAACATATTAGAATGTGACAGCTCTGACCTGATGGCAGAGGCTTCGATGTATGTCTGTTCTCAAGAAAACACACAAATGAAATGTGGTGTGTGTGTATGGGTAACCCATTATTCCAGCCATCTCTCCTAGCTTGTATCTATGTGCCATGGCAGATGATGTCAATGAAACCCTCTATATTGCTTTTAAAACCCTTGCTGCATTAGTATCACTGACAGGGCTATTCACAAAAGGGTGAAGAGTTTGGAGAAGGCAGGAGAAGTTAACAATTTAAGACAGCATAGCTGAACCGGAAAGTAAGCTGAATTGGAGAATGTTTCCAAATTGGTTATTTTGGCCTATAATTGTTCCCTTCTCCTGCCTTCTCCAAACTCGTCACCCTTTTGTGAATAACCCTGTGAGTGTATCACTTTCTGTAACGTTACCAATGCCACTTATCCCTCTAGAGTAGACCATGAGGAGGAACATGTAGCCTGTATTCTACTGAGAGGTTCTGACACAAAATCATCCTTAATCCACTGACATTAACACCTGGTGACGGATACCCATCATTGGAGTCTATAGGCACACCAGATTTGGCACCCAAATCAACACCGGTCTGCTAGGATAATCTTTTTACAGAGTTTTCTTTTCTTTTTTTTGCCTGTCCTAACCTAGCTTAGCATAGTTTAGGAGTGAGTAAATGAGCTTTAATGAGATGCCTGCTTTATTATTTATGACGGGAAAATGTGCTGCCTATGACTATTCAAGGAAAAGGCAACCCCTTTCCGCTGCGGCCTTATAATGCAGACCTACAAAACCAGCCATTTAAAACCCCCATGATCCCTCTATAACAGGGCAAGTTGTGCTATAGGTTGCATGTCTGCTCCTGGCTTTATTAAAAACAGATCTTTATGTGTATAGTTGTATAAACAATCATTAGTACATACAGCAGAAAGTGTGAAAGGAGACTGAACTCACCTTGTGTGGTCTGTGCTTCTCATGCACATGTAATATGTGAATCCTCAGTCTGTCCCTCTTCTCAAATGACCTTTGACACAGATGGCAGGGAAACTTTCTATCCCCCTGGTCCACACAGCGGGTATATTTAAGGTGTTTGTCACGGTAATATCTATAGGCAAACACTTTGCCACATCGCTCACACTTGTATCCATCTCCAGACTCTGCAAGACACAATCAGAATAGAATGTATCCAGACACAGAGAGACACTTTAATACAACCCTAGCACCCTACTTTGTTTCCATTAGGGGTACTGCTGGGGAATCATTTTTGGAATGTGTAGTTTCCCCCTATTTTTCTAAAGATTGTAGTAAACTCAACACAATATAATAGAGGGAGCAGTACAATATCACATTGGTGAGACAATGGTAATACAATTCTGTATTTTATTACACTGGGCATCAGGACTGGGAAAGTATCATATATTCATATATGCATTCTGGTCATCTATATATACAGAATCATTTGTATACAGCACAGAATAGGCAAACCATTTTATTCTACTATATCATTCAACTGTGTTAAACTTATTAGCTCTCATCAGTGCAAGGCATAGTGCAATATGTAAAGTCTGTCGTTATGGATAAAGAAAGGCAGTTGTACATTTTGGGAAGAGCTGACAATTGGACATTTTTTGATCTTCTATTTTTGATCTTTAATCAGTGATTGCATTGCTTCATTTCCCTCATGTTTTCTTTAGTGTGGTCTATTTGTTTAGGTGCATTCATTCTGGTAAGAGCTCAAACAGAACAAAGCACACCCCACAGGTAAATCCATAAATTGAAGGATAATGTGGCTTGTATATTCCGATAACTATTAGCCTAAATCATTGCAAGATAATTACTTAGCAGATAATCCTGATCTGATTCTGCTCATGTCAATAACAATTACACGGGCTTGTTTGGATGGGCTTTACTGAGCGCCTAACCGTTATATTTTCCTTCTGCAGATTAAAGCAACAGAGGTTTAAATAAAGACTTCTTTATTCCTCATCAATAGCACAACACGAAGGCCTCTGCCTGCGCCATGTTGGGAGCTTACCTTCTGTTTCCTGGAAAGAGGCTCTGCCCTCATCCATGCCCTTCAGACTGACAGGGATGCCCAGGAACTGGAGGTAGCAATCTCCATACCAGACGAGCAGCTCGTGGTTGGGTAGAATCTCCTTACAGGTCTCATAGTAGATCTCCCCCTCACTCTGCACTGCGATCAGGTTCTGCTCCTCTGGGAAGCGGGCACAGTTCACCAATGCCATCCAATGCCCAGATGCCCCTTTGCCGTCTATGAAGTGACTGAGCCTCCCGTCCTCAAAAATCTGCCAGAGGGAACAAAACGAATTATTATTACCTCTTAATGGAGAATGAAAATATCTGCATCAGAGGAATTAATGTCCGAAATCGTTTAATAATATCTTTGTCAGGTTTTATCATTACAGATCATTTACTAGTAATGGACTTTTTTTTACTATGCCAGCGATTTACAATTCTAAGACAACGAACCACCCAGAGACACTGCAGAGCTGGAGGTTTATTTGTTGTTTCTGTATTTTAGTTTATTCCTTCCATTGGTAGTTGTTATAATATCATGAGGGAGTAGTTTTATTATAATTAATAGTCAAAATAACAATATTATTAATAAGAGTAATAATAATAATAATTAATTAGTTATAATATATTATTACTAA